ACTAGAATCAAACCACCGCCATCTAAGCACTAAAATACTAATACCTAGATAAATCAACATATATAAGCGATTTTAATCCACTGAGCCATCAAGGCTACTACTGTACTCTCAGTAGGCCACAACACATTTAAACAAAACCAATAATGGTTCTTTTCTAACCTCAATCTTCCCTTTGAGCCAACACCTTATGGCTAACCAATCCATTTTATATTAGCTAGATAGGGAAAAGCTTTGGTCTGCCAACAGCAAAGTGTACCTTTGCCATTTGCTTTTGGGGGACCATCCAACTCAATAGGATTGAAAAACATGCCCAATCTCTGTTGCTACTGGAGCTATAAAAAAAAAAAAAAAAAAAAAAAAAAAAAACCCTTCTTCAGATTCCTGCCAAATATTTTGGAATAAGAAAGAGGTAGTAAATCACTTAAATCCATCAGGCATGAGCTATTCTTAAAATGACAACAATGTAGATATAATTTATCAACAAGCACTTTAAGAACATCTCAAACCCAACATGCTCAGAATACGCCATCTCAAACCCAACATGCTCAGAATACGCCATCTCAAACCCAACATGCTCAGAATACGCCATCTCAAACCCAACATGCTCAGAATACGCCATCTCAAACCCAACATGCTCAGAAAACGCCATCTCAAACCCAACATGCTCAGAAAACGCCATCTCAAACCCAACATGCTCAGAATACGCCATCTCAAACCCAACATGCTCAGAATATGCCATATGTTTAAGCATGACAACATCTTAGTAACAGATACATACCAACAAGGGGAGTTGTAAGCCTGCCCATCCCCCCACTGGCCTATGGTTATGTGCTGCAATATCACGCCTTATATTGTAGATCTCCCCCCTACTTCCCAGCAGGACCAGGCAATCTACTCTGCAACAATCACGTTACAGTATAGATTGCTTTAAAGGTCATAAGTAGTTAAAACATACATTTCTCTGCAGTTTTGGTTATATCCTTCCTCTCCATTGCACATTGGCAAATATATTTATGTTCTGTGATTTTATAGGATTTCATTTTGACCCAGCACCCTGACCATTCCCCACTTCTCGCCTAGGCGAGAGCAACATGCCACTCAGTCTATTGGGATATTCAGGTCAGTGAATCTCAAAAAGTTGCAGGTCGGTAGGTGCCAAAGTATCACAAAATCTCCCGCCTGCATAGTCAGCCATGAAGAGGAGAATCTCAGGATAGTTTGGCACTTAGGCCTCTTTCACATGAGCAGTTCAATTGGACACTCCATTCTCCTCTATGGAACGGCAGATATAACTGGACTTGTGTCAGTTTACAACCACCTACCTCCAATCTAAACACAAAAAAGGGGATCTGTCCCCCTCCATCTGGCCGCATCGGCAGGCAGCCAGCTGTAAGTGGACAGCCGGTCTGGTTACATCCGACTGCCCATACAGCAAAGTGCGCTGTGCCTAATCTACATAAGTGGATTGGACATGGACCTGTCATCTACCCAGCTCAGCAGGGGACCAAACAGATCCCCTGCCAAGAAAAACAGATCCAGCCTGTGTGAACAGGGCCTTACCACCCTGAAGCATTTTAGGATGTTTGATGTGAATATCCTAGGAGGCAGAAGGCATTTCACCAGGAGAAATGAAGTGGAAAGATGGAGGGGCTAGATTTGTGATCTCAGCCTTACTGACTTTTGCCACAACCCTCCCTCATCATTGCAGCATCCCTAATACAACAACACGCAGTACTCAATTTGGTAACAGAATACTTACCTTTTCAGTAGCTCATTCCATCACCCGTCCCTGAGCATTGAATGTGCAGCCCCAGGAACTCACAAACAAGAATGTGGCTTCATTCCCCACCCACATGCAGTCCACATTCACAGAACACTGGACTGCCAGAGAGCGCTGACTGCACATGCATGGGTAGGAACAAATCCAAGTGCTCATTTGTGAGTTTCCAGGGCTGTGCATCCAATGCTCAGAACATTATATTCAAAGCAGTGGTCTCCAAACTGCAGCCCTTTGCTTGCTTTTTATCTGGCCCTTGGGGCAGTATTTATCCCATTGACACCAACGATGGGGCACCATTTCTCCCAGACACACCAATGATAGGGCCCACTGACACAAATGAAGGGGCATAATTCCCCCTACTGACAAATGATGGGACGCTATTCGTCTGACACCAATTATGGGGCACAATTCCTCCCAGTAATGCCAACAATGGGTCACAATTTCTCCCAATGACACCAACAATGGGGCCCAATTCCTCTCATGGACACCAACGATGTGGCACAATTCTTCCCACTGACACCAAAGATGAAGCATGGTTTTTGCGCCACTGACATTGGGACCTTTTCTACTCTCAAAGGTCACAGTCCGGCCCCCCTAAAGTCTGAAGGACAGTAAACTGACCCTTTGTCTAGAAAGTTTGGAGACCCTGATCTAAAGGATGGAGAGGGGAGAGCAACAGACAGCACAACTGAAAAGGTAAACATTCTTTTCCAAAATTTGAAGATATGACAGTGTACCGAGGTTGCTATAATGCATGGGGAGGCATGTAGCAAAAAAAAAAAAAAAAAAAAGTGTACAGGCCCCAAAACATTTCATAATAGAGAAGATGGAATGAGTGAAAGGACAATGAAGGGTGAAAGGTCCACTTTGCCTGCCATCAACCCTCAATTCTAACTGGACAATTCTGAAGTGGGAACTGCTGGTCTCCGACAATTGTACAGCCAATTTCCAGCAGGCCTTAGAGAAGCTCCTAAGAGCCACACTACAGGCCTAATTATACAACAAGCCACCTCATTTCATTTCCATACCAAAGCCATGGAGGATGGGAGGTGAGAGATCCAGCTTACCAGAAAAGAAAAACAGACATGCTAGATACAATTGTTGGGAGTAATAACAAGGCCAAATGCTAAACTGCTGGTAAATCAAGGAAAGCTGGCTTGATGTCTAAAATTCCTAGTCAGATATTGGAAGAGAAAAAAAACACCCACCCACACACACCCCACACAGGCATGTGAAGATGCACTCCCATAATGGTGAGCACACACGCTTCGATTTTACTGTGTGATTAAAGTGTAACTCGATCAAAACAAGTAGCAAATATTTCAACACAAATCTGTAAATCTTTGAACACACAACTAACCCTTCTAATCGATTTAGAGCAGATCGAATCCACCTAAGCGGATCAGCCTGGACGCAGAATTAAGCAATTGTGTTGCATCGATCAATTAATATTGAGGCCTCATTTAGACAAGCTTTTGAGGGGGTGGTAAAAATGTATTTTTACTGTCCCCCTTAAGCTGTAACAAGTCGCAGATGGGCAGTTACATGATAAGTCGCCATGCTTCACATCCAAAAATACCCAACATGCAGCAATCGCCAGGTGACAAGCCCACCAATGCAACCCATTCGGGTTAAAGGGGAAGCGTTGCAAGCAACAGCCGAGGCGCACTAGTCAGCAAAAAATACTGTAAATCAGCAGTTACTTTACCCATCTCTGAAAAGCAAATCAAACGTAGATCACTCTTCAGACAACCAGGGAGTCTAAAATCTTCCCTTAAGCTGGCCATAGACAGACAAATGAAATTCAGAAGGAACTGAACGGATTTCAATCCGTCCATGATCACTGCTGGTGGCTATACCATTGGCAGGGACTGAACAAAAAAAGAAAACCCAATAGGCTGGTTGTACTGAAGGTGACTGACTTCAAACCAACCACCCTTGGTTTATTTCTTCCATTTAATCATTTGCTGGCGGTGTAGCCACCAGCAGTGATCATTACATTGTAACAGCTGAGAAACCTCCCGCTGTCAAAACACAACAGCACAGTGGGAGGGATTCCCCTATCAATACTGTGCATTGATGGGGGGAATCAAGCCTTTCCTTCGACCTGTGGTAAACAGAAATAAGTATGGCCTGTTTAAGTCCTGGTTCGCATCTGTGTGGTCCTCTGGACCACGATTTGCGCAGGCACGAGAGCCCATTCATTTGAATGGACTCCCGTACCCCTGGACTCGCAGGGAATTAGTCCCTACACTACTTCGGAAATCGCAGCCCACACGGGAACTGAGGTTCCCAGCACAGTTGCAATTTCCAGTGGCAGCGTGTCAGAATTTATGGCCCCCACGTTCCTCTGTGTGGGTGGTGCAGCTGCAGGTATTTGTGCGGTTCCTACAGGGGAACCAACCACACAGATGCAAACTGAGGGGTAAGACTACTCTCACACTGATCCACTTTTCTTTTACCTTAGAAAAAAAAACTGCGTGATCATGTATTCCTATAGAACTCTTCCCACTGATCCATTGTGGGTCCGGTCCGATGTTTAAAATCCTGCTTGCTGCAGTAAAAAAAAAAAAAACGCACACCCCCATTGAAATGAATACGCACTCGCATTGCATTTTTCAGTACAAAAAAAACTGCAATGGCGGTAAACAAGCAGCAAAAACGCATGTATTGGCCACAGATCAGTGTGAAAGTAGCCTGAGAACCTTTGTATTTTGAGCGATCAGATAAGATTGCATGGTGAAAGCCGATGCGATCGATCACTTAGTCATACTTTGAACTATCGATCATACTCCACTTTCCCATGTTTAATCATGTCAATCGCATCAGTTGACTATGGATTGACTGTCTGATAGTGTTGATGATAAAAGAAAATTGATGATATGTGATAGCATATGGCCACCATAACTCTGCCCCCCCCCTTTATTAAAGAACACCTAATGACTGATCGCCCCTAAGAAGGGATCATTGAGCAGATAAAGGTACAAATCGGTGTGGATCGGCTATGACATGACAGCCCCCCAGTGACAGATGTATAAACAGCTAATACACAGGTGACCTTTCCCCTACCCCCTCCATCCGGGGCGGGAACCTGCATAGAAAGCCTAGTGCGCCCCCCCCAGTGCATGGCAGGCGCCCCCCCCTATACACAGACGCAGCGATCCCATAGTGTGGTGCAGTGTGGGGGGATGGGTGGTGGTGGGGGTGTCCCCCTGATTACCGGAGGGCGCCCCAGTGTGGGTTGCAGTAGGCCGGCTCTGGCGGCGGGTCCATGCGGGGTGGAGTAGATGAAGCTGGCGGCCGCCTGGTGCTGCTGATCGGCGGGCACACACAGTCCGTGCTGGGGGTGGTGGTGGACCGGGCCGGGTGAGGACAGGATCTGCAGGTAGCCCCCTCCCACTCCTGTCCCCACCAGAGCGGCGGCGCCTCCCCCGGCCACAAACCCCCCGGAGCCTTTCTCCGAGCCCTGCAGGCCGGTCACCAGCAGCTTGTCGTGCCCGGAGTGGATTGCTTTCCTCATGCTGGCTCGGGCAGCCTCCTCCCGCTCTCCGATCCCGGGCTCACTCGGCTTCCTCCTTCCGACCCCTGGAATCCGTCTGGTCCGGGCCCCGTAGGCTGGAAATAGTCACCGATGCCGTTAGCAGGGACCCCCTCGGTGCCTAATGTGAGCTTATCGGAGGGCGATCAGGCACCGGAGGGGGCAGATGCAGGCGGATTGTACGGCTGGAAGTGATAGGGCCCCGCTTCGACCTCCCTGCCACCGCCGCGGCTGAAAAATGGCTCCAGGAAGCTGACAATGAATGAAGGGATGCGGTTTACGCGCGAAGGTCCTCCCGCGAAACTCAGATTTCCCGCCGTCTTTTTCAAACTGGATTTGCATGTCCACGCCCAGGATGCTTTCCTCAAGTCTGATTGGCGGGGAGACGCTCGAATTCAGGTCGCCGCGCGGAGTTCACCTCACACCAGCGTGCCCGACACAGGCCTCGGCATTTGATTGGTTGTTGAGGCGCGGCGACGGGAGGGGTCAGCTGAATTGTCACATGGTGGAGAGCATCAGCGCTGGCAGCTCTAGGAAGAGATGATAGAAATTTCTGGACGTTTTCTTTATAAGATCCCATGTTTATGTCAGGGTTCCTCATGAGGAGTGTTTTCTGCACACCTGCTGTAGTAATGTGATGGTACCAGTGGACTATTGTTCTATGCCTGAGCTATTGGGGGAAGGCCTCTCTCATGGCCTTAGAGGTAAGGGTGGGCAACTGCAGTGGCAGAACTACAAGTCCCATCATGCCTCTGTCGGTGTAAGTCGTGCCAATAAGGCTGCTTTCTCCTTTTTTTTTTCCTCTCTGCTTTTGCATTAAAAAAGCGCAAGGAAAACATGTCACCATGTAATCCTATGGAACTGTGATCTGTTGCGGGTCTGCTGCGTTTTTATAATCCAGCTTGCTGTATTTTTTTGTGTGGTAAAGAAAAATGCAGCAAAAACTCCCCTCCCTATTGAAATGAATGGAAAGTGTATCAAAAATGTGCACAAGTCACATATTACAAAACAACACAATGCAAACAATACAAATGCAGCAAAAACGCATGTGTGTTATGGATGAATGTAAACGCTCGCTGAATGGGTTAAACACGCCCATTGCATTGCAGTTTACTTCAATGGATGCGGCAGGTTGTAGCAATGTCTACAGACTAACAAGCATTCATAGAAAGTGTGAGTTCACCTTTACCAAAAATCATAAAGGTGACCTAATAACATCCACTCCCCGGGACTTACCTCCATGGGTGATGAACTGTCAAGAGCCCATTCAGCTGGCTGTCCAGGGATTTGATATTCCTGCTCTTCTTTCTGCAGGCTTCCAAGATCGTGTTTCCCTAGCGCTGGTGCTGACCAATCAAAATCACTCTGATCCAACCCCAGAAGCCCTGCAGGAAGAAGAAGAGCAAGAACATCAAATCCCAGACCACTACACCAGTTGCGTGGGCACTGACAGCTCATTACATGGAGGTAAGTGCAACAAGGACCTGTTTTCATTTTATCTGAAAAGGTGAATTTACACTTTAAGGTTCATTTAAACTTGCAGTTGTTGGGGGGATAAAAACAGGGTTGGAGCCACGTTTTTATTGCTCCCATTCAGCCAGATGGAGTGTGTACATACTGTGGTCGTTTGTGACATCCTTATCCTTATGAATTTTGCCCTCCTGGAGCTTAACCCCTTGGCACTGGCGCCTCCTGGCCCTTTAAGGGTTTCAAGAGGCGGGGCTTTAGGGTCATGTGACCGCTGCGATTCGCAGTCACATGATCGGGAAAGGTCCCAATCGCAAAAGGAGATCGGGACCTTTCCGGGAGTACCGGACATGTGTGCTGGGAGCGTGCAGGGCGCCTGCTCTAAGCATATATGTTTTTCTTAATTGCATGCAAATGTGCGGCTGTTCGGCGTCCAGGCCCAGACACCGGGAGATTGCACATTTGCGTGTGGCCGGCGCCAAGAGGTTAAAGTGGAAGTAAAGTCACTTTTAATTTTCACCTACAGATAAGCTTATAATACATAAATATATAAAAGCTTACTTGTAGGTAAAATGAATATCTCCGAAACATTCACCACTTAGGAGATATTTTACAGAGCCTCAGTCAGTGACATCACCAGCACATGCGCTCTGAAGGAATGGCATGCCTGTGTCGTTCCTTCAGGGCTGTGTGTCGTGACCAAGACTCTCGGGCACATGCGCAGGAGTGACCATCTGCGGCTCAGCCATTCAAGCAGCCGTAGCCAGCGAACCTGGAAGGAAGACCAGGTGAAGGTGGAAACCTCTGCAGCGGTGATAATGTGCACTGGAGGGCTTCATTCTAAGGTAAGTCTTTCATAATTTCATGCTTACTAGCACATTATGATATTACCTTGCAACAGGAAACTTTTTTATTTAAAAACTAATTTGCTACCACTTTAAAGCTGAATTTTAGGTATGGCGTTTTTTACATAGTTACATTGGTTCAGCGTGGATCAATGTAACTATGTATACCATACACATGGGATCCTTCTAGAATCTGGAAATCACTGTAGTAAGCATCACTTCTACCATGGTCTCTTCTAGTTTCCAGGTCCTTTGCATTGTGAACATAGCTGGTCAGCCACTCAGCAGGGGCACCATTAAGAGAATGCTTTGCGTTTTTCAATGAATACAAAGCATTCTCTGATTGCACAGTGTGGAGAGATGAGGCAGTGACATCACACTCTGTCTTGTCCAATCAGAGAATGCTTTGCATTCACTGAAAACATGCAAAGCATTCTCTGAATGGAGCCCATGGTAAGTGGAAAACTCCTGTGGAAGGGTGGGGCAGCCGCTTGACATGAGACCCAGAAGCAAATGGAGATTACTGGAGTAGCAGTGTCTAGTTCAGTGAGGTCCTGCTTCTAGAGCAGCGGTTCTCAACCTGGGGGTCGCGACCCCTTTGGGGGTCGAACGACACTTTCCCAGGGGTCGCCTAAGACCATCGGAAAACACATATTTCCGATGGCCTTAGGAACCGAGAGACACCGCTCCTTGATCCGTCTGCAGGTGTGGGCGGGATGACATGCCGTCCCTGTCATCTGGACACACCCCCCCGGGATCAATCCTTCCTCGTCGGTGATTGGCCGCCGGAACTGTAGCTCAAGAGAGGCACACAGGCGGCCAATCACCGGCGAGGAGGTGGAGCTTGGAAAGGAGGAGCCGAGCGGCGGCACCGCGAAGCACGAGCGAGCGAGTGAAGAGGAGGAAAGCGGCCGGAGAAGGAAGCCATCTGACCGGTAAGTGTTTGTACCATGGGAGAGGGAGGAGGAGCGAGCGAGCCCAGGCTGGAGGGTCAGCAAGGTAAGTATCATTGGTGTCAGTGGGAGGAATAGTGCCCAATCAATGGTGTCACTATTACCAATGATGGGGCACTATTCCTCCCCCCACTGACACCAACGATGGGGCACTATTCCTCCCACTGACACCAACGATGGGGCACTATTCCTCCCACTGACACCAACGATGGGGCACTATTCCTCCCACTGACGCCAATGATGGGGCACTATTGCTCCCCTGATGCCAACTATGGGGCACTATTCCTCCCACTGACACCAATGATGGGGGCACTATTCCTCCCACTGACACCAATGATGGGGCACTATTCCTCCCACTGATGACCACCAACGATGGGGGCACTATTCCTCCCACTGACACCAACGATGGGGCACTATTCCTCCCCACACACTGACACCAACGATGGGGGCACTATTCCTCCCACTGACACAACGATGGGGCACTATTCCTCCCACTGACACCAACGATGGGGCACTATTCCTCCCACTGACACACAACGATGGGGCACTATTCCTCCCACTGACACCAACGATGGGGCACTATTCCTCCCACTGACACCAACGATGGGGCACTATTCCTCCCACTGACACCAACGATGGGGCACTATTCCTCCCACTGACACCAACGATGGGGGCACTATTCCTCCCACTGACACCAACGATGGGGCAATATTCCTCCCACTGACACCAACGATGGGGCACTATTCCTCCCACTGACACCAACGATGGGGCACTATTCCTCCCACTGACACCAACGATGGGGCACTATTCCTCCCCACTGACACCAACGATGGGGCACTATTCCTCCCACTGACACCAACGATGGGGGCACTATTCCTCCCTCCACTGACACCAACGATTGGGGCACTATTCCTCCCACTGACGCCAACGTTGGGGCACTATTTCCTCCCACTGACACCAAACGTGGGGCACTATTCCTCCCACTGATACCAATGATGGGGCACTATTCCTCCCACTGACACCAAATGATGGGGCACTATTCCTCCCACTGACACCAACGATGGGGGCACTATTATTCCCTCTGATACCAACGATGGGGCACTATTCCTCCCACTGACGCCAATGTTGGGGCACTATTGCTCCCCCTGACCATGCGATGGGGCACTATTCCTCCCACTGACACCAACGATGGGGCACTATTCCTCCCACTGACACCAACGATGGGGCACTATACTTCCCTCTGATACCAACGATGGGGCACTATACTTCCCTCTGATGCCAACGATGGGGGCACTATTCCCTCCCACTGACTGCCGCCACCAACGTTGGGGCACTATTCCTCCCACTGACACCAATGATGGGGCACTATTCCTCCCACTGATACCAATGATGGGGGCACTATTCCTCCCACTGACACCAATGATGGGGCACTATTCCTCCCCACTGACACCCAACGATGGGGCACTATTACTTCCCTCTGATACCCAACGATGGGGCACTATTATTCCTCCCACTGACACCAATGATGATTTTG